ATCTTGAAGCCAGACATATTACCATATTCTTCTATAATCCTTAATAGTTTAGATACATTTCCTATGGGATCTGTTATATGCAACACCATGTCATCTGCATATGCTCTAAGCTTCGTCTCATATCCTTTTATTTTGATGCCTGATATTTCTTTATCATCTCTGACCTTATTACATAACACATCTAAAGATAATATAAACAATAAAGGTGAAACGCCAAGGCTGTCCCCTTCTGGATGGTACATGCTTTGGTTCTTTCTCCGTTGGTGACAATTCTAGCTTTCTGTACATTATAAAGTGTCGAGATCCATTTATAATACAATCCTTCACCCGCCGTCTTTGATAAAATCCCATCTCAAATTATCAAAAACCTTTTCGGCATCAACAAAAATTAAAGCTGCTTGTTTGTCACATTTTCTTTGAAGATATGCAGTTATATTAAGCAAATTCCTTGTATTATCTTTTATCTGCCTGCCTGGTAAGAATCCTCTTTGATCTGGATTAATCCGATCTTGTAATATGAATCTGATTCTTTTAGCTAGAATGCTGGTAAAAATTTTATAGTCTATATTTAGTAAGGATATGGGGCGATAATTCCCTATGTCCAAGGCATCTCGTCCTTCCTTTAAGATCAATACAATATTCGCCTCTCTCCAGGATTCAGGTATTTACCTTCTTTCACTCTATTCATTATCATTTTGAGTTTTGGTATAAGTATTTCAGCAAGGCTTTTATAATATATCGCACCAAAGCCATTTGGTCCAGGAGCTTTGGCAATTTTAAGCTCTTTGATCGTATCCATTATTTCAGTAGTGGTTATATCTTTATCTAATCTTTCCCTTTCTTCCAAATTCCATTGTACAATGCTGGCATTTTTTATATAATCTATTTGTTCATCTTTAGATATTATCCTTTCTTTAAATATTTTACTAAAGTGATCATGAAAGCTTTTCTTAATTTCATTCTGCTTTGTGAAGGTTTTATCTTTATATTTTATTTTTGTTATTAGCCTCTTTTCTCTTTTTTCAGTCTAGTAGCTAACCATTTACTCGGCTTATTTCAAAATGCTTTTGTTTAACATACCTCATCTTTTTTTCTATTTCTTCTGTTATTGTCATAGATAATTCATTTTGCAATATCTTTATTTGCTCTTTTAATTTTTTGTTTGTCGGATATCTTTTAAATTGATTTTCTAATATTTTTAATTCTGATTGGATTTTTAAATATTTCTCCTGTCTTTTCCTCCTTCTTCCATAACTCTGCTTAATAAAAAACCCTCTCATAAATGCTTTACTAGTTTCCCATACAACATTTATGTCCATTTGATCAGTCAAATTGATTTCAAAAAATTCTTTCAGGGTAGAAAACTTGCTGGAAAATATATCGGATCATTGCCCTGTGAGAATGACGATGAAAAAAAAGAAGAGTAGATTTTTGTTGGAGAAGGGTTACTAAAAGATGAGAATATATTGCAGAAGGCTAAGGAAACCCTCCATCTTCAATATGACACCTGTTTAAGTATTTAAAGGGGTGTCACATTGAGGATGGGAGCAAGCTTGTTTTCTGCTGCTCCAGAGAATAGGACACGGAACAACAGATTCAAACTACAGAAAAAGAGATTCTACCTAAACATTAGGAGGAACTTCATGACAGTAAGAGCTGTTTGGCAGAGGAACACATTCCCTCAGAGACTGGTGGAGTCTCCTCCTTGGGAAGTTTTTAAACAGAGGCTGGATGGCCAGCTGTTGGGAGTGCTTTGATGGTGTCTTCCTGCATGGCAGAATGGGGTTGGACTGGGTGGCCCTTGTGTTCTCTTCCAATTCTATGATTCTGTGAAACCCTTAAATATTTATACAGGGCTAAGCATAAAGAAAACATGGTGTAGAAAATTATGTTTAAACACTTTTAAAACCAGAGGACTAGGAGAATAGAGATCATTGTATAAATTTTCCTGAGAAGAGAGCCAAAAGAACCTTCCTGAATTAGTTGCTTGCATCTGAGGAAGGAGAGCCAGCATGGTATAGTGGTTTGAGTGTTGGACTGCAACTCTGAAGACCAGGGTCTGAATCCCTGCTCAGCCATGGAAACACACAGGTTGACCTTGGATAAGCCATACTCTCACAAGCCTCCAAGAAGGGCATCCCCCTTGACAAGTCTTGACAAGAAAATCCTGTAACAGGGTTGCCATAAATCAGAAATGACTTGAACGCACACAACAACAAATCTGAGGAAGAAGACTTATTCTATTAAAGCTTATGCTACTAACCTCTTTCTTTTTCTCAATTAGTCTCAAAGGTGCTACAAGATCCCTTTGTATATTTCCTGATATACAAAGTTGCCTGATGAGTTCAAGAGGAATAACCTGAAATTTATTTTACAAAAAATTATGTGGAAAGATCCCAACAAGACTTTTTTTCAAGACATATAATAAGACTTGCCAGATATCTCAAGAACCTATTACATTGGTTGTACGCCGCCCCGACTGCCGAGCAGAGGGGCGGGTTATAAATAAAATTTATTATTATTATTATTATTACATTATAAAGCTGCAAGTAGCAACCAAAGACTTGTGTACGGGGTGGGTGGGAATGAGTTACGTGAAAATCTAGCCCCTGAAACTGTACAGCGAAAGAAAGAATGAAATGCTTTTACAGAAACTTTAAGGAAAGGTGGAATTACATATAAATGGTGTTTCCCCTTTAAAATAATCATCTGAAACAAAAGGCCTAAGCAGACTGCCAGAAATAGTGCACATTAAATTGAGGCACTGCCCTGGCTCAGTGCTAGGGAATCATGGGAATTGTATTTTTTTTCTGAGACATTTTTTTCTTCTCTGTCAGAGAGCTCTGGTGCCACAATAAATTACAGTTCCCATGATTCCCTAGCACTGACCCAGGGCAGTGCCTCAATTTAATGTGCACTATTTCTGGCAGTCTGCTTAGGCCCAAAAAACGAATTTGCTGTTTGCCGCTTTGAGTCTGTATATTGGGAGAAAGGTAAAGGTATTTGCCGTTGACAAGGTTGTCAAGTTGTGTCTGACTGTAGGGGGTTGTGTTCATTTCCATTATGAAGCTGAAGAGATAGCGTTGTCAGAGACTACTCTGTGATCATGGGGCCAGCATGACTGCTGTTTACCTTCCCACCAAAGTGGTACCTATTTACTTGCATTTGCATTCTTTCGAACTGTTGGGTTGGCAGAAGCTGGGACTAGTGATGGGAGCTCAACCCATCATGCAGCACCCGGGCCTTGAACTGCCAACCTGCCAATCTTGCAATCAACAGAGTTAGTGTCTTAAGTAATAATAATAATAATAATAATATAATAATAATAATATAAAAGACAAGCTGGTTGAAATATGTGAGATGCTAGCAGTGAATCCCTCTGACAGTGTTGGGTCTACAGACCAAACACAGATAAGAAACAAATGACATGACTGGCAAGAAATATCTCACTGAGACGGTTACCAAGGAGTGAAAACAAGAAGCCTAAGAAGAAAGGGGAGTGAGCTGGATGTGAAGGAACAAAACCTGTGTTGTGATTAGAATCAGCTTAAACAGCAACATAATTTAGATATCATAAGCTTTAGATCCAGCTAACTAGTGTTTGTAAGGATTGTGGAAGCAGGGGTGTCACTAGGGGTATGCAGGGTGTGTGGACTGCACTGGGTGACACCTCAGAGGAGGTGGCATTGGTGGGAAGGGGTGCTTTCCACATATGATGGCTTTGCTGGCTGGGCAGGAAAAAGAGTCTCCATCCTCTCCTGCCTGACCAGCAGCTCCAGCAAACCCAGAAAGTCCTGCCGCTGCCGTCACCGCCCTGCCACTGCACACGTGCAACGCGGGGCACCATTTTGAGTTCCAAAATGGCGCCAGGTGTCACACACGCATGTTCACGACTCCAGGCACCTTTTGGAACACAAAATGGAGCCGGAGTAGTGTGCATGTGCGCACGATGCTGGGCACCATTTTGTGTTCCAAAATGGCATCCGGAGTTGTATGCATGTGCACAACTCCAGATGCCATTTTGGAACATAAAATGGCAGCCAAGTAGTGCGCATGCGCACGCGATGCCTGGAGCCTTTTTTTTTATTCAGCCCTCCAATGAGCTGGGGGATGGTGAACCGGCCCCCGGCTCAAAAAGTTTGAGGACCCCTGCTCTACACCTTGACAAGCCAGACTCTCTGGCTCTTGATGAGAACTAATTTTGGAGATTATTGCAGCGATAATAAAACCGGCTTAACTGAGCCGGCGTAACATTTAAAATGGGTGACATCTTGATGTTATCACAAGGGTTTTGCTGCCCAAATCATTGCCCAGGTACAGCCCAGATCCATCCTTGTTCCCAGGGCCACTCTGGTGGCCATTTCCTTAAGCTGGAAACCTCATGGATTCAAAAAAAGCCGTGCTGAGCTGCTGGGGCTGCACCTGGGCAGTGATTTCGGCTGCAAAATCCTTGTGATAACATCAGGATGCCACCTGTTTTAAATGTTAAGCCGGCTCAGGAAAGCCAGTTTTTATTAGCGCTGCAATAATTTGATTTTTGATTCGGCTGCAGAGTACCCTTGGCTCTTGTAGTTAATTGTTGTTGTTGTTGTTGTCATTTTTGTTCTACAGACTTTATGTGTTTCGTTGTAAAAACCGAATACAAAATTAATTAGGAAGAAAAAGAAAAAAAAGGAAATGACACAATGGGAATCTAGGAAGGAAGAGGTTTTAATAATAACTGATGGGGGAAAGAAACAATGTACATTGTAATGTTTCACAAGATAATATGTAATCTATTGTATCACAACAGGAAAACAATATAATGTAAATGTAATGTACAATAGGAATTTGTAACGACAAAAGACCAACATTTCTAGAACGATAATAAAAAATAAATAAATAAAGAATTCCATAGCATGGAGCCATGTCAGATAAAGTGGAATCAAAGTGGATTATTGCTGCAGTGCAGATGGGAACATACTAAAACAAATGACAGTACTTGCCCATAGGGAAACCATACTTGCCCATAGAGAATCATTAGGGAATACTTACCCATAGACAATTACAGTGAAATACTAGTATTCCCTTATGATTCAATATGGGCAAGCATTCCCCAATGCTTCCCTATAGGCATGTATTCCCCAATGGTTCCCTATGGGCAAGCATTCCCCTATGATTCCCTATGGGCAAGCATTCCCCAATCAATCCCTATGGACAAGCATTCCCCAATGATTCCCTATGGGAAAATATTCCACAATGATTCTCTATGGGCAAGTATTCCCCAATGCTTCCCTATGGACAAGCATTCCCCAATGATTCCCTATGGGCAAGCATTCCCCTATGATTCCCTATGGGAAAATATTCCACAATGATTCCCTATGGGCAAGTATTCCCGAATCATTCCCTATGGGCAAGCATTCCCCTATGATTCCCTATGGGAAAATATTCCACAATGATTCCCTATGGGCAAGCGTTCCCCAATGAATCCCTATGGACAAGCATTCCCCAATTATTCCCTATGGGCAAGACTTCCCCTATGATTCCCTATGGGAAAATATTCCCCAATGATTCCCTAAGGCAATTATTCCCCTATGGTTCCCTATGGGCAAGCATTCCCCAATGATTCCCTATGGGAAAATATTCCCCAATGATTCCCTATGGGCAAGCATTCCTCAATGGTTTCCTATGGGCAAGCCTTCCCCAATGACTCCCTATGGGCAAGCCTTCTCCAATGGTTCCTTATGGGCAAGCCTTCTCCAATGGTTCCCTATGGGCAAGCATTCCCCAATGACTCCCTATGGACATGCATTCCCCAATGACTCCCTATGGACATGCATCCCCAATGGTTCCCTATGGGCAAGCATTCCCCAATGGTTCCTTATGGGCAAGCATTCCCCAATGAATCCCTATATAATAATAATAATTTATTTGTATACTGCTCTATGGCAAGCTAATCCGGGCGGTGAACAGCAATAAAATAACATACAACATAAAAACAGAATAATACCCTCCTCCCCCCCTTAAAAAATTATTAAATCAGGTTCAATTAAAACAATTACAATAAAACACTAACCATTAATTAAAATAAATTTAAAATTATAAATACAAACCAGCAAACCCCTGCTACTTCAACTCTAAGAGGAATTTATAAGCAATCCTGAAGGAAAGGTCCTGGAATCCTGAGGCCGGGCGATTCAGTCTGGGAAGGCCTGCCGGAAGAGATCCGTCTTAAGAGCCTTTTTAAAGATGTGCAAAGATGTTAAATGACGGATCTCATCCGGCAGGCCATTCCAGA